CTGCAGGAAGCGCCGGCCCAAGCAGCAACAGGTACCAGGGGCAGGAGACTGGGGGGCTTCCCCTGTCCCCTGGGGGGCAATGGTCAAGAGCCCTGGAGGGGGAGAAGAAGGGGCTCTGCAGAGCTAGACACTCTGACAGTGGCTCCTGCAGAGGGGCGGCCAGACCCGGGTAAAAGGAGGCTTATAATAGTACGTGCCCGAGCGCGCACCATCCTCCGAGCCCCCTCCACAACCACACGCCGAGAGGTGGCCATCTCCTCGCTTCCCTCAGGATGGTCCAGCCCGAATCAGCTGGGAAGTCCACGATCAATCAGGACAGTTTGTCTTCCAGGCGCCTCAGATCTTCGTCTCGGGGCCATTTGGACTCAACACTGGGAAAGAATCTCGGATCCTTGCCAGCTCCATGGCACAAAGATGTCCAAAGACCTTGTTGTACCACTCTGGAGATCGTCCCCTGGATAAGAGAACAACCCAACAGGAGGGATGAGCAGGCAGAAGTCACTGCTGGCATGTGTCAAAGATAAGAGCACCATTTCTGGCTCAGGGGCAGCCTAGTTAGTTCCTAACGGGATGGACCACAAGATGATGAACAGGCACTGTTTCACAAAAAAGGGAATGTGCTTTCCCCTCATCTTGCTGCGGCACACAACAAAATGAAAGATCATCCAAGAAACAGCCAGGATAACCCCAGCCCACAGCGATGAACAGACTGTCCCTTGTATCAGCCTGCCCTTGGACCACTACACTGCTGCTCAGCTTGAAGCTGCAGAGAAACGGCTAACACCGTGTTTCAGACCTGGCGTTTGCTAGAGCAGCATTGAAGGACTGACTGCCACACACCGAGCTGTGACCTGGCGGGCTGCCAGCAGTGACAACAGGGGCTAACGCTGCGCTGGCGGCTCCCTGCCGAGCACGGAGCAGGCAGCTCCCAACCCGGCCTCCTTGATGTGGGCGATGGGGCTGCAGGGCCAAAGGGCTGTAACAGCCCCTGCGGGCAGGACAAGCCCGCTAAGGAGCAAGCACCGCGTGTGCCGGCCTCCCCATCGCGCCCTGGCCCGTCACGGCTCGCGGGTGCCTGATGTCGGGTCAGCGCATGGACGCGGAGGGTTTCCCAGTACCTGAGATCAGCCCTGCAGATGTGCGTCGCCTTGGAGCGGCCCATGCCACTGGGCTCGATGAGATACTGAGATGTCAACACGACGGCCTTGACGCCTCCTTCCACTTGCAGCTTGTCGTGGTCCACGGACATGGAGATGAGCAGGCAGGCCCCCCGGGGCAGGTCCGTGCACCAGTGCCTGCAGCACAGAACAAGAGACCTCAGTGCCGGCGAGCACGCACATCCCGGGCATCTCCTGGGCCACCAAGCGCCCCACAGGAGGGCAGTGCCAGCACGGAGCTGGCAGAGACCAAAAGCCTGTAGGAAGCACCAACACGAGACCAAGAGCCTACCGAAACCCTCAGCACGGAGGTGTAGCCCACCAGGAGAACAAGACACCTTGCTCTGTCCATGCTTGTTACCAGGACTGCTCCACCAGAAGCACCCACAGGATGGGGGGTAGGGGATCAGGTCCCCAAGGCCTGGTCCTTGCCCGCGCTCACCTGAGCACCACGCAGTCCCTGCGCGGGTGGGGGGCCATGCTGTCCGTCACGTAGTGATAAACCTCCATGTTCTTGTCCAGCGCCTCCACCACCTTGCTCTGCAGCAGGTCCTCGTCCCAGAGGTGACGCTCCCGAAGGATCCGGTGCAGCACCATGGGCGGAGGGGCCTCAATGTCCGTGGAGACCTTCCACAAACGCAGTGGCTGCCCGTCGCCAACCTGCCGGGCAATGGGACTGGTCAGGCAGGCAGCCCCACAGCTTTACTGACGCTGACCTTCCCCCTTGCTGAAGGCACCAGGACGCTCAGCAGAAGAGCAAGCACCTATGGCTCCCTGTGCTCACAGGATAGACATTCTCCCACAGTAACATCTACCTTTTTGCAGGAGAGCTCCGTGTTCAGGGGGCCAGGATGGCTCAGCCAGCCCTTGAATTTCTCCGACGACTCTTTGAGCAGTTTCTGGATGGTCTGCTCAAAATAGGAGTGCAGATCCTTGCCCTCCCCTTGACGGATGACTTCAGATAGGGGATGTGGGTAAGCGTCTGCTGCCATATAGGAGCTGCTCAGCTGGAGCAAGATGTCATGCGAGACCTGCAGAGAGAACACACACGGGCTTCAGAAAGCCAGGCAGATCTGCAGGCTGCGAAACCTGGGCGCAGCAGGCAGCACTTCTGCTGCCCCTGCACCGAGGAAGTTCTAAACAGAAATGCTGCTAACACAGGCCAGTGCCCATCTGCCCAGTTATACATCTCCCTGATGCTGGGCACCGCTGGGCATCCTCACCCAGTCCCTGGTCCTGCACAGCTAGAACGCTACAGTTCCTCACCTGGCTAGGGGGACCAGGGAGGATGGACACGGCCTTTCTGAACACGTGTCCTGAGCAGGCGGTGCCTTCCCACGCTCACCCGCAAAGCCTGCACGCTCACCGCGCGCTCGCACCGTCCCTGCAGCGCCTGCAGGCAGAAACGCCAGGCAGGAGAGCTGCACCAGGCTGGGGGAGCTGCATCCGCCCGGGACAGCTGCACCCACCTGGAAGAGCTTCTTGCAGTCCGTGATCATGTGGGAGAGCCCCTGCGTTGCTGCCATGTTCTCGTTGAGGTCCT